GATTTTTATTATTATTTTTTAATAATATTACTTATTGAAGGTCCTTGAAGTCCCAAAGAAATGACACTTTTTGCCATATCTCAGAAACTAATGATGATCGAGATGAAAAACTGACACCAAACGATCCACAGTGTTTCTTATTTCTTATTTTATTTATTTGTAAAGGGACAGTGCATATTAATGAACATTAAAAATGTAAATATGTAAAGATTATAGCCAGCGTGGCTCATTTCCATCTTCAGTCCCTCAGCAGGTTCGTGTAAAATCATCTATAGGACGAGGAAAAGTACAGCAACAATCACACAAAAGTACACAACACCAGCACACACACTGTACACACAACACACACACTGTACACACAACACACACACTATATGTACAACACACTCACTCTACACACAATTAGTTTGAAACAGTTCATTTGAAGTTCAAAGTCATAAGTTTAAGAATGAAGTCAAGAGTTAAACCAACAACCCCTCAAAATAAAAGAAAATATAAATTGTTTAAACATGGTGACATATTTGACCATTGAATAACCACTGTTTTAAAGCTTTAGAAAATGCTGCAGTGTTGAAAGTTCTCGTACATGAGCAGCTCTGTGTCCATGTTTGAGCTGCTCGATAAGCAAAAGAGAGTTTGTCCAAAAGTACTTTTCCTAAACGGCACAGAGCGTCGCCTCTGGAGCTGCTCTTGTGCGATTTGAATTTCTTTTCACAAACTCCTTTAGAGGAGGTGGAGCAAGATGATTAAAAACTTTGTAAACCAGAATTAAACCTGCATATTTGATTGTGTTGTCCCAATTTAGGAATTTGTATTTGTCAAGTTTTCTGCAACAGTGATAATTTGTGGGCTTTTTGTCTAATACTTTAAAGTGATTTTTTTATATATAGTTTCAGCTAATTTAAGACTGGTTTTGTTTGTCAGAGTCCAAGTAGTAATGCAATAATTTAGGTGTGGCAAAATCATTGAATTTAAATACATAAATGCCGAGTTGGTCGTTAGATTATTTCTTATATGATGAAAATTTGATAAATGATATTTGATTTTATTGACCTGTTCTTTTGATGTGTTGTTTGAATGATAGTTGTGGGTCCATATTTATATTCAATTTCTATTGATACTATTGGGATAAATTAATTATTTTTGATGTTATTAAAGAAAAACAGATTTTTCTGCTCAGATTTAAGGCTTCTGCAGACACACTAGACTTCAGAGGCCTGTTGGATCCAGAAAACATCAGTAGAATTTCATGAAATTTCTCACTTACTTTGGCAAGTGTAAAAAATTGATACTAGGTACAGATGGATTTTCAGAAATGTTTCAAAAAATGTGGGTAAATGATGCACCCTAATAATCAGTCATCCTTTATATACACCAACTCATTCTTATTTTATTTTATTTTATTTTTTGCAGATTTAATGAAGCCAAGAAACCTGATGACAAGCCAAAGCCAGTCCCGGGCCGCCTCGCCGACAAAATCAGCATCTTCGAGAACCCAAAACTCGGAAGTCCCGGACAGTTCCGCACCCCGAGGAGCGCGGACGTCTCCCCCACGCGGAGGACGGCGGAGCGGCTGAGGGGCGAGTTCGCTTCGTCCAGGTCGACTGAAAGTTTGGGCAGAAGACGCTCCAGTTCGTCTTCCCCTCCCCGCGACAGAGTTATGACGATTAAAGAGCGGGTCAGGAACTTTACCGAGGCGTGCAATACTCCGCCGCCGCCGCCGCCGACGAGCATCTCAAGAATTCATCACAAAGTGTCTACGTCCAAGTCACTGGAGCTACTGGACTATCCGGACCAGCCAGACCAGACAAATACAAACGGGAAGGCTGTGGCCAAAGTGGTGTTGCAACTGAACGGGGGAAGTGCTAAAACAAACGCGAGTAATTTGAAAATCCAGTCGTTCAAAATGACAGAAAAAGAGGAGTTTACCAAAGCCGGCGAACCTGACGACGTAGTTGATGGTGGCAAACTGTCGCCTCGAACAGGTTTGAAGTCTAGACGGCGGAAAAATAAAGAGCCAGGAAGTCCAAAGAGCGAAACGAAAACAACAGAAGCAGGAAAACTGGAGATGAGTAGTTCAGTTAGAGATGCGCGACAGACTGACCCAGATGACGGAAAGAACGTCGCCGCGCGGGTTTCCGAGAGCGTTTCGCAAACACCGCGAGATCTCAAGACGACAAAACAAGAAGCGGTGCAGAAAATCGGCGAGAGGCTGGCGAGAATGCGATCCGCCGAAAAAATACCAGAAAGCGCGTCTGTAGAAGCTTCCACGGTTTTCGCAGCGAAGGAAGACGCGCAAAACAGCCCCGCGAAAGTCGAAATGAGTCCCGACAAGCCCGTTAGACGAGACAGGAGGACCAAAATAGACTCGTCGAAAGGTCAGGACGAGGTTGAGAGTTCGAGTCCCCAGCTAAGCCTGAAAGACAAAGAAAGCAAAACATCGGCTTTCGCGGAGTTAGAAAATAAATCCGACTTGTCAAGTGAGAAAGCAGGTGAAAAAGCGAGTTCAGACAGGGGTAAGAAACTGGGAGAAACCACCGAATTACATGACAATAAGAGCAAATTATCTACTAACACCCAGCCGAGAGAAGAATCAAAGGAGGATGCTAAAATATTGCTGCCTGCTGTCAAAGGAGGGACTTCAATACACAAACAAACGGCTTTCGAGAAGGAGGACAATGAACCCGCGGCTTCACAGCTTTCAGACACAATAGCGCAATCGGACAAAAGTACTGGAAATAAAAAGTCCTCTATTAAGCAGGCTTCCCCGAGCGATATTGGCAAAAAGCTCACAGAAGTAGCGTCAGTGTTCAGTAAAGAGAAAGACAATCTGACGCCGAAATCCAAAGAAAGTAAACTGAGCGACGCTACAAGTGGACAGGAAAGGCCCGGTGACAAAACCGAGGGCGCCGCGGAGGCTAAAGACGTAGGACCCTCGACTGAAGTGACAAAAAGTGACCCTAAAGTAGATTTGTCTAAAGATAAACAAGAGGCTGCGGCTGCTGCAAGCGCGCAGGGAAAGTTGAGCGGCAAAAAAGAGGGCGCTACGAAGTCTACAGTGAAAGAACTCGCAGATGAAGCGCAAAATATTGACACTAAAATTGGAAATAAAGTCGATTTGACCAAATTTAAACTAGATATTGACACAAAAAGCGGACCAGAAAAGCCTAGAGACAAAAATAAGGGCACTACGAAGACTTTAGACAAAGAACTCGCAAATGAAGATCAAAATATTGATACTAAAATTGGAAATAAAGTCGATTTGACCAAATTTAAACTAGATACTGAAGCAAAAAGTGGGCCGGAAAAGCCTAGTGAGAAAAATAAGGGCACTACAAAGATTTCAGACAAAGAACTCGCAAATGAAGTGCAAAATATTGACACTAAACTTGGAAATAAAGTCGATTTGACCAAAATTGAACTAGATATTGATGCGAAAAGTGGACCGGAAAAGCCTAGTGACAAAAATAAGGGCGCTACGAAGACAACAGACAAAGAACTCGCAAATAAAGATCAAAATATTGACACTAAAATTGGAAATAAAGTCGATTTGACCAAATTTAAACTAGATATTGAAGCAAAAAGTGGACCGGAAAAGCCTAGTGACAAAACTACAAAGACTGCAGACAAAGTAGCCTCAATTAAAGAGCAAAAAAGTGACACTAGTTCTGAAAATAAAGCAGATTTGGTGAAAGTTAAAGAAGATATTACAACTACAAGTGGTCAGGAAAAGCTAAGCGGAGCTACAAAAGGCCCCGATATTGAAAATAAATTGGATTTGGCGAGTGTCAAACCGGAAATCGCTGCTACAAGTGAAAATAAAAAGCAAAGTGTCAAAAAGGAGGCGGCTACTACAAAAACTACAGCTACAGAACTCTCAGAGGAAGTGAAAAATAAAGTAGATTTGCCTGAAATTAAACCAGTTATCGAAGCTAAAAGCGGAGAGAAAAAGCAAAGCGTCGAAAAGGAGGCGACCGCAAAGACCGCAGACGTAGAACCGTCAAAAGAAGTTAAAAAAAGTGTCACTGATATTGAAAATAAAGTCGATTTGCCTGAAATTAAACCAGTTATCGAAGCTAAAAGCGGAGAAGAAAAGAAAAGCGTCAAAAAGGAGGCGACTGCAAAGACCGCAGACGTAGAACCCTCAAAAGAAGTGCAGAAAATTGTCCCAAAAATTGAAAATAAAGTGACTGATAAACAAGATATTGCTTCTAAAAGTGAACAGACTGTCGAGAAAGCAGTATTATCGGATAAAATGCCAGAAATTAATGTCGAAAATAAACTACAGTCGCCTGAGGTTGCTTCTAAGACTGAATTACGACGTGACAAAAAAGATACAGCGCTGTCAGGTGAACAAACGACAAAGGAATCCCAGAAAGCAAACGCACCCTCTAGTTTACGTTCCGAAAAGGATGTGGCCAGGCAGGACGGCAACGAGGAGAAAATTGCTCAGTTGTCAGTCAGCAAAGGCGAAACTGATACTCCTGCCAGTCGTAGCCAAACAAAGGAACCCATTGACCGAGATCCTGCTGTTTTACCTAAAAAGGAGCAGGAAACGGCCGGCCAAAACACTGCCCCATTCACAGCGGGAACAAAAGAAGGCCTCAAAATCTCAAAAGAGAGGTTCGCGTCTTCGGGTTTACCTGCGACGCGTCGGATGGATGAGAAGGGACAAGACGCGGGATTGTTTTCTACGTCTAAATTGCGGGGCAAGTCCGAGGCGCGGGGAGCAGTGACAGGTTTAATAAAGTCAGAGGTGATAGAAAAAGGCGAGAAATGTGTCGGCAAGGGAGACGGGGACGGCACCGCGGCACAAAAACTGGATACTGAGACAGAGAGGTTAGGGCAGGAGGCCAGAGTGACCATTCAGGATGAAAAAAATGTCGTAAAAGATGACAAACTGGAAGGGCAGGACGTGAAAAAGCTAGAAAACGCCGCTAAGATTTCACCAAGTAGTGCATTATCGTCCGCGGAGACGGTGGGGGTAGAAGACAAAGCGGTTTCTGTCGCGGATAATGATGGAGAAAGGCACAAGGGCAGGCTCACAACTTGGGCCCACAGCGCTGACAAAGCCTGCAAAAATCTCTGGAAAAGAAGCTCTGCCAAAATCAGCGAGCGAGACTAAACCGCAGGCTGAAAGTATAACTACGGAAAATAAAAGTCAAAGAGGACGGGATGACTCAGCGCACAAACCCGGGCCTGTTACTGGCGGGGTGTTAAACGTCGCTAAAAATGGCAAGTTTGAACCAAAGGATAATGTAGAACAGGCTTTGAGCGGATATGCGGAGAAAACTAGTAATCTTGACGACAAAAAGATAGAAGTTAAAGCCGTGTCGGAAAGCCCACAAGTCCTGAAAGATTTAACCAAACAGGGCAGCATTAGTGGAAGTAAAATCCCAACATCGGACAGACTTTCAGCGAACGGCGAAGTGAGTTTGCTGTCAAAACTCGAGCCACTCAACGATGCATCTGCGAGGTCTAAAAAACAAACTTTTAAACCGTCCCCGGAGGCTAGTAACATCTTGAACTCGTCTCTGAAAAGGCACAACTTAACAAAAGGTCGAAGTAAAGATGAGTGGAGCGTGCCGCAAAACCGCGATACGCCGTCTAGCTGGCTGGACTTGGACTTCCCCAAACAGAGGCTGAAAGTGTCGAGCGAGGCCAAGCTGACGTCGTCCGGGAGCGAGAGCAACCTCCTGGACACGTCCGCGGACCTCGACGACGCAGATTTCGTGGAGAAAATTAAAAAGCTCTGCGCGCCGTTTTCGTTACCGCCGAGAAAGCACAACCCGCTCAGGAACCCGCAGCCTCCCTTCGCGATGCCGGCGATCAAAGAAGACCGGTACGAAAAGACGTTCGACCCCGACGAGTTCACGTTCGGACTGAGGAAGACGAATAAGTTCAGCTTCGAGACGCCGAGTTTGCTGGCGAAGCTTCAAAATCCGGAGGGGAAGCCGAGCGTAAAACCGGCGAGAGCGAGCTTCGCCGACCGGAGCATGTTGCTAAGCGGTTTGGAGTCACGTTTTCGAGACAAGGCGCCATCTAAAGACGAAAAAGAGGAGGCGAAGGACGAAGTTAAGGATGAAATCAAAGTGAAATCCCGTTTGGAGGGGAGCTGCGTGCTTAACAGTCTGACCACGTCCAGTTTCAGGAGCAAACTCAGCCAGAGTCAAGCCCAAGCGGACGGCACTAACTCGGGGAATGTGTCTCCAAGCGGCAGCCCCCAAAACAACAGTCCCCGGCAACTGGTACCGCCCCCCCCTGCCCAAGCCAACCCGGAGGCACGCAACAAGAAAGAGGAAATCCAGTGCGCAGGGGAACTCGCGGAGAGTGACTCAGGCCCTCCACTCCCAGCGTTTAACCAGATCAAACTGCCGGACTTTTTGGAGAAGTACCTCCCCAGAGAGACGAGGGAGCAGGGGCAGAGGGAGCCGGGGAAACTGCAGCGAGCCAGAACAGAGGTTAGTGTTAAAGCTTTGTACAGATGTTACTGCAAATACGCTCTGCAAGCTCCAAACGTGGCCACGCACTGTAAAAAAAAGTTATAATTTAACAGTGAATGCCTTGTGTAAGTCAGATGATTCTGCAAAATTCATTCAAAACATGTACACAAACTTTGAGTGCTGCTGCGAACAGTTTCAAAACAATAGGACTACACTGAACACAATGCACAATTAGATTAGTTTGTAAGACTTTAGGACAATCATAATCTACTTTTTTTTAGACGAAAGTGTCCCTATTTACCCTGAACAGTCCCAGTTTTGAGCCCTGTGTCCCCTGATTTATCCAAAACCATTGATTTGTCCCAGTTTTATACAAGAAATGTCCCAGGTGTCCCTATTTTTGGCATAAATAGTCATTCCTTTAGGTAAAATACAGAAAAGCTGCTTAAAAAATGACCAAAATAAAGAAAATGTGACTGTACTGACTCACGTGTTAGTCATGAATGAGCCAAAAGCAGAATAATTTTCCTTAACATTACATTTTGGAGGAGATAATACTTCAAAATTATCTGATTTTAACCAGTCAGAACAGTACACAAACTCTAAATGCTGCTGCAAAAAGTTTCAAAACAGTAGACCTATGCTGAACACAGTGTACAATTACATTAGTCTGCGAGACTTTAGAACAATTATAATCTACTTTTTCTAGATTAGGATGTCCCTTTTTATCCAGGAGAGTCCGAGTTCTGAGTCCTGTGCCCCCTGATTTATCCAAAACCATTGATTTTTGTCCCAGTTTTATATAAGAAATCTCCCAGGTGTCCCTCTTTTTGGCATAAATAGTCATTCCTTTAGATAAAATACAGAAAATGTGACTATACTGACTCACGTCTTAGTCATAAATGAGCCAAATGCAGAACAAATTTCCTTAATCATGCACTCCTTTCACAATTTTATTTTTACAAACCACTCCAAAGCAGAAGTGTCCAAGGTTTTTGAAAATCTGGTCACCATATTCTAGACACATGTTCTTGTTAAAGCTACTGTAATTGTACTGCAATTCATAAAAAAAAAGAGTACATTTGGATGAGATAATACTTCAGAATTACAGTACACAAACTCTGAACGCTACTGCAAAAAGTTTCAAAACAATAAGACTATGCTGAACACAATGCACAGTTATATTAGTTTTGCAAGACTTTAGAACAATTATAATCTACTCTTTTTTTAGACTAGAGTGTCAGTATTTACCCGGGACAGTCCCACTTTTGAGTCCTGTGTCCCCTGTCTTAGCAGATTTATCCAAAACCATTGATTTGTCCCAGTTTTATACAAAAAACATCCCAGGTTTTACCAATTTGATCCTTACCAATTGTAAAGAGAGTCATAAATTGCCATTTGTTGATGTTAAATACACAAAAGCTTCTTAAAAAAATGACCAAAACAAAGAAAATGTGACTCAACTGACTCACGTTTTAGTCATAAATGAGCCAAAAGCAGAATAATTTTCCTTAACGTTACATTTTGGGTGAGATAATACTTCAAAATGATCTGATCTGAACCAGTCAGAACAGTACACAAACTCTGAACGCTGCTGCGAAAAGTTTCAAAACAATAAGACTACGCTGAACACAATGCACAATTACATACATTTTCAAGACTTTTCTAAACTAGAGTGTCGATATTTACCCGGGACAGTCCCACTTTTGAGTCCTGTGTCCCCTGTCCCAGCAGATTTATCCAAAACCATTGATTTGTCCAAAAAATATCCCAGGTTTTCCCAATTTGATCCCTGCCAACAGTAAAATGAGTCATGAATTGTCATTTGTTTAGGTAAAATACAGAAAAGCTGCTTAAAAAAATGACCAAAACAAAGAAAATGTGACTCAACTGACGCACATTTTAGTCATAAATGAGCCAAAAGCAGAATAATTTTTCTTAACATTACATTTGGAACGAGATAATACTTGAAAATTAGCTGATCTGAACCAGTCAGAACAGTACACAAACTCTGAACGCTGCTGCGAAAAGGTTTTATGTCATGGAACAGGTCAGGACGAGTTCGCTCAAAACAAGATTACAGATGAATACAATGTTGAATTACAATTGTTTGCAGTGATTTAAAATCTATTGTCATAATGTCACATGGGCTTCTGTGACATGCCCTTCTGTGCACATGTTTCTGTCAGTGCTGCTGCGAAATTGTTCTGACAAAAGCGTAAAAAAAGAAGTTGTGATTTCACAGTTAACGACCTGGCAAAACTCTGAAAATCTTGCAGAATTTAAAACGTGAAAAACAGACCTGGTTCATTTTAAGAAATTCACTTTTTTTTTGGAACTTTTCATTTTTATTTTCATTTTCACACATAATAAAAAGAATAATAGAACTTTCCCAGAGACAAGAATACTAAAATATTATCTTTACAAATGCAATATACATATTCCGATACATGTGCAGTATATTTTATAACATGTACATCCTTGTTTGTGAGCACTTGAGAAGTAAACCGTTAATAATAATAACTAAAATAAAATTATAAAATAAATAAATACATAAAAAATAAATAAATACATAAAAATAAAAAGGATTAAGATATATATACTAATTAAAGGAAGAAAAAAAATATAATAATAATAATAATAATAATAATAATAATAATAATAATAATAATAATAATAAAATAAATAAATTAAAAATAAATAAATACATAAAAATAAAAAAGGATTAAGATATATATACTAATTAAAGGAAGAAAATAAAATAATAATAATAATAAGAAGAAGAAGAAAATCATAAAGTAAATAAATTAAAAAAATAAATAAATACATTAAAAAATAAAAAAGGATTAAGATATATACTAATTACAGGAAGAAAATAAAATAATAATAATAATAATAATAATAATACATTTTCTAAAACCTGTTTCCAATTAGCCGTAATAGTTTTAGCAATTCACAATTTATAACAAAAAATATCAGAATCAGAATTTATTTATTTGTCATTTCGGTATAAAAAAAAAAAAATACACAGAAACGAAATACGAAAAACTGCACTCAGGTCCAGGTCAACAGCAGCACAAATAATAATAAATAAATTAAATAATAAATAAATAAATCTTTTGAATGGGAAAAAGTCTTAAATGTTGCATATAACAGGATGCTGATACCAGAGGTGGGACTCGAGTCAGACTTGAGTCACTATTTATATTAAGACTTGAGACTTGACTTGATAAAATAGACTAAGACTTGGGACTCGACTTGGACTTGAAGGTCAGTGGCTTGGGACTTGACTCGGACTTGAGAAGACTTGATGCTTCTAAAAAATATATATATGTTTTTAGAAAATACTTTTCTCTTTACATCTGTGGTGCTGAATTTAACAGGATCAAATTGGAACATTTTCTTCCCACTTCTGTTTATTACTTTGGATGTGACTGAAGTACTGTGATGTGGTATCCTCAAAAGTACTACAGTAATATACAGTACAGTGTAGTACAGCAGAGGGAACTACACAGAACACGATCCTTCCATTTCAGTGCAGACACACGACAAAATCACTAATATTAAACACTTTTAAAACTGAATTCTTTCTATTCTGACCAGGGATGTATCGATATCCACGTCTCACGATACGATATCATCACGGTATGAACCTCACAGTACGATATTTATTGTGATATCATGGGAAAGCTCATGATAATATGATCAGGCGACTCACGATTAGGGATGTAACAATATCCCAATCTGTTGGTATGATGTTTTCACGATAAACATCTAACTGTACGATATTTCTTGCGATATTTTCTCGAGGTAAACAAAACTGTTAATATGCTCCTTTTTCCTCTTAAAACGCCTCGACAAGACTTAATCCAAAGAACTAAGACTTAAAAGTGTTAGAACTGTTATTTCTTCTTGTCGTCTGCACTGAAATGGAGCAAAGGATCATGGTCTATGTCAGGCATGTCCAAACTATGGCCCAGGGGCCAAATGTGGCCCTCAGACAAATTTTTCTTGGCCCTCAAGCTTCCAGGTGAATTGGCCCAAATAACCTTGCATCATTTAAAAAATATTTTTTTTACTGCAAGTTTTTTGAAAATCTACCTTAATAAAGCTAATATTTAATATTTAGTGTTTGGTTTTAAGGATCTTACATGAATATAAACTGATGGCTCATTCTAACGTGTTAAACCTGCACATATTTAAATTATTCCCTTTACTGAGCATCAGTCTACGGCCTCGATCGGCCTCTGCTTCTTCTGTGTTTAGATCTGTGGCCCTTGATGAAAAAAGTTTGGACACCCCTGGTCTATGTAGTTCAAGTTGAAGTACAAGTTACTTTAAAATTCATATAAATTGCAAAAAACTATAAGTTATATTTGGTGTTGACTTGGACGACTTGGACTTGACTTGGACTTCCGGGCCAGCGACTCGAGACTCGACTTGGACTTGCCTGTAATTTGACTTGGGACTTGACTCGGACTTGAGGCCAAAAACTTGAGACTTGCAAAACAACGACTTGGTCCCTCCTCTGGCTGATGCCCACGAATAGGCAGGTTACTGGTCAGATCCGTGGAGAGGCGAGCCCACTCAATAGTATAGTATGTAATTAAAGGCCTTGTTCTTGATATTTTTTCACATATTTACAGATATTTATCAGAACTGAAGTGAAAAATGACTCAAATCAAGACCTGAGTTTCAATCCTCCACTTCCTTTTTTTTTTTTTTTGCAGTGTTTTTGCACCGGCGTCGGGTCAAAACATTTCCACACACGTGAAACTCTAACAATGCTTTTACTCACATGGTCTTGCGACAGAAGTGAAACTAGATTCGGGCATGCTGAGGAATTTAAAGAATGCCTCCAAACCACACACACACACACACACGCACACGCACACACGCGCACGCGCACGCGCACACGCACACGCACACGCACACACACACACACACACACACACGCACACACACACACACACACACGAACGATGTTTAAAGTAGCGCTGTCATTAACTTGGGCTTGGCAGTGTTTTGAATGACAAACGTTTCCTGTGTGGAGATTCCTCTGGGGCCAATCGTAACTGTGCATGAGAAAGGGGGGCGGGGCTTGTGCGGCGCTCTGGCTTTCTGATTGGTGGAAAAAGTTTGACTGGCACTAACATGTCACAGATGTTCAGATAGTTTGGGTTTGCAGATTTGAGAGATTTTGTGGGTCATTTGTTTATTTGTTTTTTGTTTTGTTTTTTTCAAAATAAAACCAAAAATAAGAAAATGAAACCAAAAAAATCTTCATTATTTGTCTCCAAAACCAAAATGAAAAAACAGATAATGATTTTTTTTTTTTTTTTTTCGATTTTGTGTTTAAATGAAAAATATAAATAAACGGATAACGGATGTTTTCTGTTTACGTGACTTAAACTGAGAAGCCGGACTGAACCAGGACTAAACCAGGACTTAACCAGGTCCGGAGACCAGAACCAGGCCAGGACTGAGACCAGGAACAGGACCAGACCATGACTGAGACCGGGACTGAGACGGGACCAGACCAGGACTGAGACTGGACAAGATCAGGACTGAGACCGGGAACTGAGACCAGGTCTGAGGCTGGGACCAGACCAGGACCAGGCAATGATTGAGACTGGGACTGAGACTAGGACCAGACCAGGATTGAGACCAGGTACAGGACCAGGACTGAGACTAGGGTCAGACCAGGACTGAGACTAGGACCAGACCAGGACTGAGACCAGGAACAGGACCAGGAATGAGACTAGGACCAGACCAGGACTGAGACCAGGAACAGGACCAGGAATGAGACTAGGATCAGACCAGGACTGAGACTAGGACCAGACCAGGACTGAGACAGGACCAGACCAGGACTGAGACTAGGACCAGACCAGGACTGAGACCAGGACAGGACCAGGACTGAGACTAGGACCAGACCAGGACTGAGACTAGGACCAGACCAGGACTGAGACAGGACCAGACCAGGACTGAGACCAGGAACATGACCAGGACTGAGACCGGGACTGAGACCAGGACTTAGACCGGGACTAAGACCAAGACCAGACCATAACTGAGACCAGGACTGAGACCGGGAACAGAACCAGGACTGAGACCGGGACTAAGACCAGGACCAGACCATATCCGAGACCAGGACTGAGACCAGGACCAGACTAGGACTGAAAACGGTTTAGTCTTGGTTTCGCCCTGTCTTAGTCCTGGTTCAGTTCTGGTTCAGTCTGGCATCACAGTTTAAGTCACAGAAGTCCATTTTTCATTTAAACACAAAATCAAAAACTGAAAAAACGAATCTTTATCTGTTTTGTCATTTTGGTTTTGGAGACAAATAATGAAGAAAATAGTTGTTTTTTCATTTTCTTATTTTAGTTTTATATTGAAAAACGAATAAACGAACAGCACATAGATTTGAGAGGCTGGTTCCACATTTCACATTTCATTCATCCACATTAAACACAATAAACATATAAAAACACAAATACAAAATAAAGTGTTGCAGAGCCCCAGTGCAGAATGACTTTGTTCCATAAATAATTCATTACTTTCATCCATCACACTTGGCTAAGATCACAGTAAATATTCAATATTTAAAAAAACACATGATTTTTTTTCCCAAGACAACGTACTAAACTGGACAGATAAATAGATTACAGGTCATGGAAATAATCATTTACATTGTGTGTCCAAACATTTGTCTGGTCTGGTTGTGTTTGTTAGTGACGAGCTTCATTATCCTGCCGTGTTTATCCAAGATCACCACAACAGATTAACTCCGGTGTCGTCGCACGTTAACACTCAGTCAGTAGAAAGTTGTTTTGCGAAATCAAAACCCTGCAGTTACAGCGACAGCAAAATACACTTAATCACAGAAGCGGAACGTAACAAATGATACGTGTCACTGCAACTGGGTAGAGTTTATAGATAATTGTACCTTTTTGAGTAGATTTTTAAACATGTACTTGTACTTTTACTTGTAATTAAGTATAATTCTGGTCATGTAATTGTAAATCATAGATGTACCACTCTACAGTCGCACATAACATTACTCCAGAGAATATATGGTTTAAAACTATTTAAATCAGCTTTTAAATGTTAAATTAAGCAAGTTTTGTAAATCCGTGTATCATTTGTTCCTTTGTTTTTCAGTATAAAACCACAAACAAGAAAATGAAAAAACAACTATTTTCTTCATTATTTGTGTCCAAAACCAAAATAAAAAAAATAGATAATGACTTTTTTTGTTTTTTTTTTCAGTTTTCGATTTTGTGTTTAATTGGAAAAAAAACAACAACAAAAAAAACGTTTCCGTGACTTCCTTGACTGCGATACTGGTCTTTTAAAACAGGACTAAACCAGGACTAAACTGTTTTCAGTCCTGGTCTGGTCCCAGTCTCAGTCCCGGTCTGGTCCTGGTCTGGTCCCGGTCTGATCCCGGTCTCAGTCTTGGTCTCAGTCCCGGTCCTGTTCCCAGTTTCAATCCTGGTTTCAGTTCTAGTCTGACCCCGATCTCAGTCCCGGTCTGGTCCCGGACCTGGTTAAGTCCCGGTTCAGTCCGTATGTGGCGCAAAAGTCCGACATTGCACTTTAAGTCACGTAAACGGGAAATGGTTGTTATCCATTTTTTTCCATTTTTCATTTAAACACAAAATCGAAAACTGAAAAAGCGAATCGTTATCCGTTTTTTAATTAAAATTTTGGTTTTGGAGACAAATAATAAAGAAAATTGTTGTTTTTTCGTCTTCTTATTTTTGGTTTTATATTGAAAAACTAAGGAATGAACGATACACAGATTTTTGTAAAATAATGACTCTAAATTTGCGTAAAAAAGTAACTAGTATTTATACACGTTTGGCAGCAGTACTTGTATTTGTAATTAAGTTCATTTTTAGCCAAGGTACTATATAGAAAATACAAGGACTAGAGTTGTATTTTTGGATGTAAATGTGACGTTTTGTGTGTTGTGTTTGTGTAGGTGGATTCTAAAATGCCTTCAGTGAAAGAGGAGGCACGGAGCAGCTCACCGCGGGAGTCTCCAGTCCACACGCAGCTGCACACACAGGTACGTCTGAAAAATATTCACTTCTGTTTCCGTAAGAGCTCTCTGGATCCGGGAAATGTCTTCAACGTAACAGAATCATCAAACAGTTACAAGAACAAGTCCAGTTTAAGATTTAATTTGGGGTTTGTTGATAGATTGGGATTGTGGAGCAGGGAGGGATACGGAGTAGTGGAGTAGTGTTTTGTTTTTTTTCTAAAAGGGCAAAAAATGGGAAATAGGGATGCAACGATACACTTTTGCCACGATTTGATATGAATGAGTATAATATAATAACACATGATATTAATGAAACATACTTACAACAGACGCATCAAGAATCTCAGACTTCCGGTCATTGCACAATTCATAATGGGAAGGATTTTCCGAAAAAGTGAGCATCAAACCTCCATGTTTGTTTTCCCAGTGGGACGTGTCTATTGTCAAAGTCGATCTTTTCAAGTTTTTGAAACATATCGCTTTTGTTTCTGGTTCTGATATTGTCATATTTTAGTTTTTGGGATTCGGACATCGTTAATTGTGTGGTTGTTGGATCCTAACAGAGGAAAACGACTCGAGAAATTTGTTTGTGAACTTCCATAAATGCAAAAGTGAATCAGATGTGTGTGACTCAAACCTCTGTTCAAACTGTTTCTCTTCCCAACGGAATTGAAAAATAGTGAAAGGTGAAGGCGATGGGCAGGATTGATCCACAGGAAGGACAAAAAATTTAACCTTTGACTGACTAAGAAATCATCCTGAGTTTGCAGTGAACATTTTGTATGTGGAGCGACAACAAAACAAAATCCCGTTTGTTAATGGAGAGGAGCAGAAGACAAACAGACTGAGCTGCACTTTCTTGTTCTTGTGGTTTTACAGCAACATCACGTCTTGGTCTCTTTGCAGTGGAAGGTGTTTCTTGGTGAACAGTTGGTGCCTTTCACTTTGGCGTTGACTTTTTAAATTTGTAACCAAGGTTGAGCGACGGATCGGGATTTTTGTGTTGTTGCTCCACATACAAAATGTTCTCTGCAAACTCAGGATGATTTAGTCAGTCAAATGTTTCCTTTTTGGTTCTTCCTGTGGATCAGTCCTGCCCATCACCTTCACCTTTCACTATTTTTCAATTCCGTTGGGAAGAGAAACAGTTTGAACAGAGGTTTACAGTCACACACATCTGATTCACTTTTGCATTTATGGAGTTCGCAAACAAATTTCTCGAGTCGTTTTCCGCTGTTAGGATCCAACAACCACACGATTACGATGTCCGAATCCCAAAACTAAAATATGACAATATCAGAACCAGAAACAAAAGTAACATGGTTCAAAAGACTTGAAAAGATCGACTTTGTCAATAGACACATCCCACTGGGAAAACAAACATGGCGGTTTGATGCTCACTTTTTCGGAAAATCCTTCCCAGTGTGAATTGCTCAATGACCGGAAGTCTGAGATTCTTGATGTGTCTATACATTACAGCAGAGACAGAGAGTAGAGTTGTGCAAAAATATTGTATGTATACTGTATCGATATATCGCCAAAAGTATTTTTTGGTATATTTTACTAAATTATTTTGTTACAGCTACAGTTTTGTTGCTTGTTTAGACGAAGGAAACTTGTTTATGCGACAAATTTGACATTTTTACTGTTCTGGTGGTGATTAAAATGTTTGTGTTTCATATTAACTTTGCAGAAAGTTTAACAAAGACTTTTAGTATCACAGCCTTGATTTAGCATTTATTTTTTATTGAATACTGAATTGATCTTAATCTCAATATATCGTCCATTGTTTTAGTATTATATATCGGGATGTACAGCTGGAGTTTATATGTGAAGTGTTGATTCAATGATTCACGTCTCAGCGTTTTTATTCAGTGAAAATAAGAACAGAGCTTCCTTGGGCTATTTTATATTTTATAGTAAAGTCAGTCTGCTCTTAATGTCGAGTGTTAGGGGAGTTACACTATCAGGCTTTTCCTTTTTTGACGATGATTTGATGGTTTCTTTTCCATTCCTCCTGAGTGTGTCTCTCCCCTCACTGCGTTCACACAGGATCCATGTGTCAGAGCCCACACTGCCCTGCTCTTTTTATACACACAGACCTCTAACATCTTCTTTCTGAACACTCAAACTACACAGAAATGTCTCAGCAGACCGTTTCCCGATGAAAATGTTTGAAATAGAGTCTAATAGAGCCTCGCGCGTTTGATTAAAATTTAAAAGTTAATATCTTCGCCCTTCCCGGGTCTATCAACGCAAAATAAAAAGTGACTGAAAGATAAAACCCTCCTCTGTTAGAATATTTCAGCTGTAAGTCCCCGTGGAGATGTTTACTCGCTGCATCTGAGGAGGAAGCGGCGATAACTGTTTTCCTCTCGGACCAAAATAATGTGTCATGAATTAATAACGGTTTTCTATTTCTGCAGAGCTTGTTTTCTTCGCTTTGTAATCCCTGACCCCGAATCTGAAGTGCGTCAGACCGGAACACCTTTGAAATAGCTTCTGGCGTCTCGTAAACAAGGCTCGAGTTTTGAGTTTTGAGGTTTTGAGATGTCACGTTTGAGTATTTTATGGTTAAGAGTAAGAGTCTACTTCACCCACGCTCCCACACGACAATTCTCCATAAAAAAAACAAAAACATGATGCAAAACTGTACACAACAACTTCTCAAACCAGGCCTAAACCAGGTCCAAACCAGGTCTAAACCAGATCTAAACCAGGACTAAACCAAGACTAAAACCAAATCTAAACTATGTCTCAAACAGGATTTAACAGGACTAAATCATGTTGTGTGGACCGTCTCTCCTCCTCCTCTTCTGTCAATAATATTTTTAATTTGGTAAAGTAAAGTCTGGGCTTTTCATTTTCTTTTAGCAGATAAAACGTCTTATGTTACGATATCCTGGTCTTTGCTTCTCTACAGCAAATCAAGTAATCCAAAGTAATCAGATTACGTTACTCACCTACAGTAACTTAATAGATTCTGTTACAAACTACATTTTGGGGTATGTAATCTGTAATGTGTAGGGGAATACATTTTAAAAGTCACCTTCCCAACACTGACTATACTTTTTTATACTACTATTACAAGTACAAGTACAGGTTTGAATATCGACCCTTATTACCCCCAAAATATCTTCTCAATGGAAGCAGTGTGAGTATTTGTGATAAGTTTCTTTCCGCCCCTGCAGTGGTTTTGTCCAGTCAGTCTGGTTATGTAAAGCAGGAGTCAAACGCGAGGCCCCCAAGGGAAAAAAATATATATATCTGTGTCAATTTAAACCAACGTCATTAATTAATAACGGTTTTCTATTTCCGCAAAGCTCTTTCTCGCTTTGTAAATCCCTGACCGCAAATCTGAAGCGCACCAGACTGGAACACATTTGAAATAGCTTCTGGCTTCTCGTGAAAATCCTGCTACCAATAAAATAAATCGACTTTTGGAGTTTCCTACCAGGTTCTAACGTCGTTCCCCGTGTCAAAAACTTGTCTGAAGAGATTTGAGATCACGTTTGAGTGTTTTAACGATCTCTCCTGAGCCCTGAGAGTCCACGTCACCCACGCTCCCACACGATAATCCTACGTAAATTTACAAAAACGTGATACGAAAACAGAAACTTGACAAACCTGATTGTGTTGCGAAGACGTCTGAAGAGACTAAAGGGAGAAGAGTCAATTGGAGGGACTCTGAAGCACCAAAAACACAAGCGAAACTTCTAAAACTTCTAAAAATGCTGTTTTTGGCGAACAGCATTTTGAAAACAGTAAAAGTAATACATCAGTCTGACACGTCTGCTGTAAAAAAAAACTTGCTCTTTGCACACTGTCCCTTGTACACTTGGGCAAGACACAGTAACGGACAAAAAAAGGAAAAAAACATAATAAAGTCCAGTGTTTCTGTGCAGTATAGGTGATTTATGAAAAGGTGAAAGTAGTAAATGCGACGTGACACAACTTTAGTACTTTTACTTCAAGTCGAGTAACATTGTTGTCATGGTTTTGTGTTCAGGCGGCAGTGAAGAAGCCCACACTCGCAGAATCGACCCAGAGCACACCGAAGGAGCTGCACGCCGAAAAAAACAAGGTAATTCTACTGCAATAGTACTTTTACTTCAGTGCATGTGTACATCCTTGTAATCAGACGTGTTTGATTTGTTAGTAGTTGTTCAAAGCAGTAATGGTACTTCTTACAGTACAAGAGGCAAGTGGTGAAGGTAGTCGTTTTCTTTAAGATACAACAATTAATCACTTTTACTATTGTGACAATTTTAGCACCAATATATACCGTATTTTTCAGACTATAAGTCGCACTTTTTTCATGGTTTGTGTGTTTCCGGTGCGACTTCTATATTAAACTGTTTTTGGTGAAGTGTGGAGAGGTTCTAGTCTTGTGTGTGAGTATCTGCTGCTCCTGTTCCTCCTGCACCACTGTCACTTGGCTCTACTGCGCATGTCTCCTGCAGAAAGAGCCTCTGTTCTGTCTGTATCATGTCAGTCGATCGCACCGTTACTTCTGCACCACTGAACGATTTAACATTTAAACAAACTTATAAAGACAAAGACTGAGAAGACTGAACACAAATGCCAACAAAAAGAAAATCAGATTTTGCAGATTACAAACTGCAAGTCGTGAAATCTGCAGCTGAAAACGATAATCGAGCAGCAGAAAGAAAGTTTGGAGTGAGAGAGAAACTTGTGACAGTTTGTCGACTGAACAAAAGTTAGTTTGGTTGAAGATGTTTCGCAGCTCATCCAAGCCGCTTCTTCGGTTCTGGTCAGAATCCTGGTGGACACTTCTGACCAGAACCGAAGAAGCAGCTTGGATGAGCTGCAAAACATCTTCAACCAAACTAACTTTTGTCCAGTCAATAAACTGAACTTTCTCCTCATGGACTCTACCTGGACGACTGAGGGATTCTTCACACACTGGATGGATGGACAAAGTCTGGACTTCAGTGACACCGAAACCATTCAGAAAGGCCCAAATAATTCTAAAGAAACTGATTCTGGGTCTGACGACAGCGACACAGAAGAGTTTGCTCGCTCTGTTTACCTCCGGAGGTCGAGGTCGAGTTGTTCAGAAGCGACACTGAGGACGAAGAATTGAATGGATTTAGTGATTTGGAGTGAGATGATAAAATAAATTTCCCTCAAAAAGTGCGACTTATATGTTTTTTTCTTCTTCATTACTCATTTTTTGGCTGGTCCAACTTATACTCCAGAGCAACTTATAGTCTGAAAAATACGGTACTCCAATCAGAGGGGGATAGAGTAGCCAAAAATGTACTCAAGTAAGACTAATGTTACTTCAAAATAGTAGTACTCAAGTCGAAATGTAAAGTAGTGATCCAAGAAATTACTCAAGTTAGAGCAAAAAAACTGTTTGGGAAAAGTACTCCTCAAGTAAGAGTAACGTAACGAGTATCTGGCGAAAGCTGATTTATACAGTGATTTGAAGTGAATATGAAGTGAAGGACAAAATATTAGAAACATAATGCACGAAATCTGGAGTTTTCAAAGCGCAGACACGAACTAAATCATTTCTGAAGGAGCAAAGAAACACAAATGTTCAAATCATTTCACATTGTCACATAAAACTTTTGTCACTTTAGACTTACAGTGGGAAGACGAACCACAACTTTCACTCCAAAAAATATTATTTAACTAGGAATACGCTGCTGGAAACTGTACTTTTATTTCTTTTGTGTGGTGCATCGTTGTTGTAAAAGAAGATTGAATTCTGTCTAGTGCCCACTCGTCCCAGAGGCTTCTTCTTTTGGACGAGCGGTGAGACATTTATTCTTAAACTCTTTTGTCCAGTGACAGAATTCAATTTTCTTTTACAGCATAACAAATGTACGACCGAGGGATTACGAACATGAAAGTATGTTGTTGTTGTTGTTTACTTGCAATTATTCAGCAAAGTCCAACTCCCACAGCACAGTCACAGCAATAAAAACTTACAGTGAAGTGACGTAGCTGCAGTTTGGAACAAGAAGTTAAAGCCACAGTATTAAACTTTTTAGCAAGAGCATGTTTTTTATTTTGATGTTTTTATTGCAAAACAGTTAAAAACATGCATCGTTACTGTGAGTGGGCTTGCATATCTACAAACCTTACTCGTTGTTCCCTTGGCTGCGGTATGTACTTGAGGACAGTTCATGGTTTTAAAGGGCCCATCTCGTACAAAGTCAACTTTTCAGAGCTTTCTACCTTCCAAGAGTGATGTGTGGGCCTTCTATATGTTGCCAAAGTGGTTTTTAGACTAATTTGGCGTTTTTTTAAACAATTTGCAGCTTATTTCTGCCACCCTCCCACGTGACAACGAACTAAAGCTGCTACAACGATGACGCGGCAGATTCACCTATGACGTGTTTGACGTAGCAGAAAACGCTTCGCACCCGACCCCGTCCCCCGCTCCGTCGCCTCCTCGAGTGTTCACGATATAATAAGTTGATCTACTAGTGTTTATTAATACTTTACCAATCAGTAATGTTCAGCTGATGTGGACGCGGTGCTTGAGCTTCGTGCTCCTCAAAGTCCTCGTCCGATTCCGGGTCCAACACATGCGGCTGAACGCGCTGTATCTCCATGATGAATAAAAGTTTATTCCTGCCGCTGTCAGGGTCACGTCTGTCTCCCCCTCCCTCCCTGAGATGGCGGAGGAAGGGCGGCTCACTCAGAGCCTACGTCGCGTTTGGAGGGCGGAGCCTGTGCTTTCTCAGGACGGGCGGGGGGAGGAGCAATAGTCGGTCTTTTATAGTTCCTGGTCTGTGACTGTCTCCAAGAAATCAGTAAGATTTCAGAACTATTGTGTAATGGATGTTCCAAAACCCAAACTGTGCTTGTTTATGTGCAGAAGATACAATGTGAAAAGAGTTATTTTGCATCCGATGGGCCCTTTAAGTTTTTATTTCCATGGAGTCTTGCAGGTGACTTGCTGTCTCCAGAAAGTTACATACTGTACTTTTTAATGGAGCTGTTCCTGTATGTTCCTAAGTTTTAGTCAAATATTACATAAGTGAGGAATGTGAGGACTGTTTCAAACAAACTTGCTCTGTGTTTCACATTTTTAAGGCAGTAAAAGTGCAACACCTTTTATCAAATGTAACGTAACAGTAGCAGTTGTTTGTAGAGACTTCGTCATCCTGACATTTGGAAATAGATACTAGATAAATAAAGGCTAAACAGGCTCCTGCTGTGCGCCTGCAAGAATAAGTTTCCTATATTGGTATAAAAATAGATTGACACACCCTGCAAAAGAGCTTTTGGGTAAAACTGCAGTCCTCCCCGTCACTGACCACGGAGAGTTTACAGATCTGCATTAAAAACACTGCTCCCTAAGGTTGTAACAATTCACCTGTTCCTGACAATGAAAAAGCTACAACACTAAAAAAAACAAACAAACAAAAAAAACAGTTATACAAAAACCATCAGTAAAAAAAGGTATTATTTTTGTAAATGACCTAACTAATGAAAATGGTTAAATCATGGAATATGAAGAATGTAGAAGTGTATTTGATGATGTTTGTTCGCGCCGCTCGTATAATCTAATCATCACAGAAGCAACTGATAAATCGAGGCTTTCAGAAACTCTCATCAAACAAAAAGAAAAAAGTAATTGTATGAAAGGAGTAAAAATAAACCAACTCTTAAGTCTCTAAATCAAGATCACATCGCTCCTTTTAAAAACTCCATCCAGAGTATTTTACAGGATCATTGCACTTGTTTTTAACACTTTTATTCTCTTTAATCTGCAAATGTTTCACTGTCTCATGTTTCTGTTCACTGTTTTATGCTGTGATTGATGTGTGAGTTTATTCTGTTATTCTATTTTGTTGCAAATGTTCTCAATTGACTTACCTACCTTAAATATTGACAGTGTTGGGAAGGTGACTTTTAAAATGTAATCCCCTACAGATTACAGATTACATACCCCAAAATGTAGTTTGTAACGTAATCCATTAAATTACTTAAAGTGAGTAATGTAATCTGAATACTTTGGATTACTTGATATTGTCCTGGTTTTAGTCCTGGATTTAGTCCTGGTTTAGTCCTGTTTTTTTGTCCTGGTTTAGTCCTGGTTTACTTCTGGTTTTAGTCCTGGTTTAATTCTGTTTTTTTGTCTTGGTTTTATTCCTGGTTTTAGTCCTGGTTTAGTCCTGTTTTAGTCCTGGTTTAGTACTGGTTTTAGTCCTGGTTTTAGACCTGGTTTTAATCCTGGTTTAGTCCTGATTTTAGTCCTGGTTTTAGTCCTGGTTTAGTCCTGATTTTAGTCCTGGTTTTAGTCTTGGTTTAGTCCTGGTTTAGTCCTGGTTTAGTCCTGGTTTTAGTCCTGGTTTTAGTCCTGGTTTAGTCCTGGTTTTAGTCCTGGTTTTAGTCCTGGTTTAGTCCTGGTTTAGTCCTGGTTTTAGTCCTGTTTTTTTGTCTTGGTTTAGTCCTGGTTTAGTCCTGGTTTTAGTCCTGTTTTAGTCCTGGTTTTAGTTTGGTTTTAGTTTAGTCTGGTTTTAGTCTGGTTTTAGTTCTGGTTTAGTCCTGGTTTAGTCCTGGTTTAGTCCTGGTTTAGTTCTAGTTTTAGTACTGGTTTAGTCCTGATTTTAGTCCTGGTTTTAGTTCGGGTTTAGTCCTGGTTTAGTTCTGGTTTTAGTACTGGTTTAGTCCTGATTTTAGTCCTGGTTTAGTCCTGGTTTAGTCCTGGTTTAGCCCAAAATATGAAAACAGTAAAATACTTCTGTGTAATCCATTTATTTCAACAAAGTAACTGTAATCCAATTACCACTCACTGAAACAGTAACTGTAACTGAATACAGTTACTCATAATTTGTACTCTGATTACTTAACTCCGGTACATGTAATCTGTTACTCCCCAACACTGAATATTGAATAAATAAAATAAAACGTGTAATCTCTGGGCGTTGTGTTTCAGGCGCCCGTAAAGATGCCGTCTCCCGCTGGTCCTGCGGAGGAGCCGAGTGTGACGAACGCGATGAAACTTCCTCCTTCTCTGACCAATCACTTCTCTGGGATTTCTCTGACGGACCAAGCCCCGCCCCGTCACGCTCCGCCCAAGAGGAGACCCAGCAGCAAGGTAAGAGCCGACAACAAACAAGCTGAACTCACAGAACTCTCACCAAATAACCTGTATATACATAAAAATGGACATAACTAACAGGAAGTGAGCACCAGCGCACTTTCAGCTCCATCCACTCTGGCTCCAATTCACAAAACACTGCTCCTTACTCCATAACATCGTTCATTTTTGACTTAAAATGTTGGGTTTAACTCACTCTACATCAGTGGTGTCAAACTCATTTTTTTCCCCGGGGCCACATCCAACCGACTTCGATCCCAAAGTGTCCGGATCAGAAAACTCATGTCATATAAACCCCAAAAATAACAATAAGTTCAACTATTTGTGCAGAGAAACACAAATCTATTACAGAAATCTTTTTTAATTGATGAACTCTTTCTTTTACAAAATATTATAATATTATGAACAACCTGAAACTTGAAACCTGAAAAATTTAATTTCAACACAATGTTTTAACATTAACTTGTTTGCAAATAGGAATAAGTCAATTTTTCTTGTAAAATCCTGCACTCGGCTCCACTTTTCTCATGTTGGACATTTTTCTGATGAGGGTGTCACGGTCAACAGTCAAAACGATCGTCCTTTAAGAGCGTTTGGAAAGAGACAAGTCTTCATTTGTGCTGCTCTGGTGGGAGGGGCCACGTACAGAGACGCTGGAGACGCTGCTGTGATAAACACCACAGAAAATTAACAAGATTTTAATAGAAAATATAATTCAAATATTTTAGTAGAAAATCAGCCGAGGGCCAGATTAAAGGTCTTGGAGGGCCGGATCTGGACCCCGGGCCTTATGTTTGACACCTGTGCTCTACATGATCCTGGGGTTTATTTCACAATTTTGTCCCTAAATGAAGATATCAACATTAATAACAGACCAATCAGGTGCCTATTTTTCTTGTTGGTCCCGTTATCGTTCGCAGCAGTTTCGATTTCGTCGCTGAGCTTCAACTCCCTCCCTCCTGATTGAAGATTCTCTCCGTAACTTGACCTCATCTGTCACCTTGTCTGGAGATAATTACGTTGAATGTCGCACCGTTGGACGTTCAGACAGAGCTGTATCATCTCTGCAGCGGCGCGGTGTTTCCGTGGAGGCCAGAGCGTGTTGTTATAGTTCTCCTTACTCACACAGAGATGTAATTCAATCTGGACAAAGCCCGAATCCCCCGCGAACGAGACTCTGCCGCTGTAAACTCTGCTCCCGACTCTGCTGCAGTGAACACAGACTGTACCGGTCTGTACTTTTAAAGACTCACTTTGTGTCGGAGAGTTGTGGTCTGGTCCAACTTTTACTGGTTTAGTTAAGCAGGACTAAAACAGGACTAAAACAGGACTAAAACAGGACTAAAACAGGACTAAAACAGGAGTTAAAACAGGACTTAAACAGGACTAAAACAGGACTAAAACAGGACTTAAACAGGACTTAAACAGGACTTAAACAGGACTAAAACAGGGCTAAAACAGGACTTAAACAGGACTTAAACAGGACTAAAGCAGGACTAAAACAGGACTAAAACAGGGCTAAAACAGGACTAAAACAGGACTAAAACAGGACTTAAACAGGACTAAAGCAGGACTAAAACAGGACTAAAACAAGACTAAAACAGGGCTAAAACAGGACTTAAACAGGACTAAAACAGGGCTAAAACAGGACTTAAACAGGACTTAAACAGGACTAAAACAGGACTAAAACAGGACTAAAACAGGACTTAAACAGGACTAAAACAGGGCTAAAACAGGGCTAAAACAGGGCTAAAACAGGACTTAAAACAGGACTAAAACAGGACTAAAACAGGACTAAACAGGACTTAAAACAGGACTAAAACAGGGCTAAAACTAAAACAGGGCTAAAACAGGACTTAAACAGGACTAAAACAGGACTAAAACAGGACTAAAACAGGAACTAAAACACTAAACAGGACTAAAACAGGACTAAAACAGGACTAAACAGGACTAAAACAGGACTAAAACAGGACTAAAACAGGACTAAAACAGGACTTAAAACAGGACTAAAACAGGACTAAAACAGGACTAAACAGGACTAAAACAGGACTAAAACAGGACTAAAACAGGACTTAAACAGGACTAAACAGGACTAAAACAGGACTAAAACAGGACTAAACAGGACTAAAACAGGACTAAACAGGACTAAAACAGGACTAAAACAGGACTAAAACAGGACTAAAACAGGACTAAAACAGGACTAAAACAGGACTAAACAGGACTAAAACAGGACTAAAACAGGACTAAAACAGGACTAAAACAGGACTAAAACAGGACTAAAACAGGACTAAAAACAGGACTAAACAGGACTAAAAGGACAAAACAGGCTAAAACAGGCTAAAACAGGACTTAAACAGGACTAAAACAGGACTAAACAGGACTAAACAGGACAGGACTAAAACAGGACTAAAAACAGGACTAAACAACTAAACAGGACTAAACAGGACTAAAACAGGGCTAAAACAGGACTAAAACAGGACTTAAACAGGACTAAAACAGGACTAAAACAGGAAAAACTAAAACAGGACTAAACAGGACTAAAACAAAACAGGACTAAAAAAAAGGACTAAACAGGACTAAAACAGGACTAAAACAGGACTAAAACAGGACTAAAACAGGACTAAAACAGGACTAAAACAGGACTAAAACAGGACTTAAACAGGACTAAAACAGGACTAAAACAGGACTAAAACAGGACTTAAAACAGGACTAAAACAGGACTAAAACAGGACTTAAACAGGACTAAAACAGGACTAAAACACTAAAACAGGACTAAAACAGGACTTAAACAGGACTAAAACAGGACTTAAACAGGACTTAAACAGGACTAAACAGGACTTAAACAGGACTTAAACACAGGACTTAAACAGGACTAAAACAGGACTAAAACAGGACTTAAAGGACTAAAACAGGACTAAACAGGACTAAACCAGGACTAAAACAGGACTAAAAACAGGACTAAAAGGACTAAACAGGACTTAAACAGGACTAAAAGGGCTAAAACAGGACTAAAACAGGACTAAACAGGACTAAACAGGACTAAACAGGCTAAAACAGGACTTAAAACAGGACTAAAACAGGACTTAAACAGGACTTAAACAGGACAGGACTAAAGGACTAAAACAGGACTAAAACAGGACTAAAACAGGACTTAAAAGGACTAAACAGGACTAAAACTAAAAGGACAAAACAGGACTAAAACAGGACTTAAACAGGACTAAAACAGGACTAAACAGGACTAAAACAGGACTAAAAGGACTAAAACAGGACTAAAACAGGACTTAAACAGGACTAAAACAGGACTAAAACAGGACTAAACAGGACTAAACAGGACTAAAACAGGACTAAAAGGACTAAAACAGGACTAAAACAGGACTAAACAGGACTAAACAGGACTAAAACAGGACTTAAACAGGACTAAAACAGGACTTAAACAGGCTTAAACAGGACTAAAACTAAAGAGGACTAAAACAGGGCTAAAACAGGACTAAACAGGACTAAACAGGACTAAACTTAAACAGGACTAAAACAGGACTAAAAGGACTAAACAGGACTAGGACAGGACTAAAACAGGCTAAAACAGGACTTAAAGGACTAAACAGGACTAAAAGGACAAAAAGGACTAAACAGGACTAAAACAGGGCTAAAACAGGACTTAAACAGGACTTAAACAGGACTTAAACAGGACTAAAACAGGACTAAAACAGGGCTAAAACAGGACTAAAACAGGACTAAAACAGGACTAAAACAGGACTAAAACAGGACTTAAACAGGACTAAAACAGGACTAAAACAGGACTAAAACAGGACTAAAACAGGACTTAAACAGGACTTAAACAGGACTTAAACAGGACTAAACAGGACTTAAACAGGACTAAAACAGGGCTAAAACAGGACTAAAACAGGGCTAAAAAACAGGACTAAACAGGACTAAACAGGACTTAAACAGGACTTAAACAGGACTAAAACAGGGCTAAAACAGGACTAAACAGGACTAAAACAGGACTAAACTAAAACAGGACTAAAACAGGAAAAAGGACTTAAACAGGACTAAACAGTAAAACAGGACTTAAAACAGGACTTAAACAGGACAGGACTTAAACAGGACTTAAACAGGACTTAAACAGGACTAAACAGGACTAAAACAGGACTTAAACAGGACTTAAAACAGGACTAAAACAGGACTAAAACAGGACTTAAACAGGACTTAAACAGGACTTAAACAGACTAAACAGGACTAAACAGGACTTAAACAGGACTAAAACAGGACTTAAACAGGACTTAAACAGGACTTAAACAGGACTAAAACAGGACTAAAACAGGACTTAAACAGGACTTAAACAGGACTAAAACAGGACTAAAACAGGACTAAAACAGGGCTAAAACAGGACTTAAACAGGACTAAAACAGGGCTAAAACAGGACTTAAACAGGACTAAACAGGACTAAAACAGGACTAAAACAGGACTTAAAACAGGACTAAACAGGACTAAAACAGGACTAAACAGGACTAAAAGGACTAAAACAGGGCTAAAACAGGACTTAAACAGGACTAAACAAAACAGGACTAAACAGGGCTAAAACAGGACTAAAACAGGACTAAAACAGACTAAAACAGGACTAAAAACAGGGCTAAACAGGACTAAAACAGGACTAAAACAGGGCTAAAACAGGACTTAAACAGGACTAAACAGGACTTAAACAGGACTAAAACAGGACTAAAACAGGACTTAAACAGGACAAAACGAGTTCCAAACCAGTATTAAACCAGGACTAAAACACAACTAAACCAAGACTAAGCAAAGACTAAGCCTGGACTGAACCAAGATGAAGCCTGGACTGAGCGTGGACTATACCTAGCGTAGACCTAGACTAAACCAGGACTAAACCAGGACTAAACCAGGACTAGACCAGGACAAAACCACGACTAAATCTGGACTAAACCTGGATAAAGCTTGGACTGTGCCTGAATTATACCTGAACTAAACTTGGACTAAAT